TTATACCGAATTTGTTGTCGGGACACATTTATGCTAAAAGGACTAAGTAATGAGTTTAAAACACCCAATTACATCCATGAAATCAGAGGACACAGTTTGAGCTAATATTTTTGGTCAGGAACACAGTAAGGTAGCATCTTAACATAGTTCAAATTCAGATAAGGAATTTTACAGATGTGAAGAAAGTATTCTTCAGATTAAGAACCATCAGCTGCTAATGATAAAAAGAGTTTTCAAAACCTGAAAATTAGAGTTCTAGCTCTGCACTGTAAAGATGAACCAAGCTCAGTGAATGAATATTATTTGTTAAAAATATGAGACAAAAGCAAAATGCCACTGATGCATGGGATATGTTGTCTGGCAGTGGAGTATGGAGTGGTGGGAATCTAGACTGGACAAAGCCTGACAGTGTAGGCTTCATCTTCATGGGAGCATGTTAAATGGCTTCTAGTTTGTAGAACTGTGTTTAGAAGAGCACAAAAATGATACTATGGAATTCCTAAAATAAATACAAGGCACATCTTTTGGATGAGACATACCAAATAACATGTGACAACAAATATCCTCATTTCCACAATGCCCTCACAGTGGTCTTTCCTTTCTAAGTCACATTCTGGTCCAGCATCTTTCAGTGATATGCTGGAAGAAAAAACTTCCACTCAGGCCCTTTGGAAAGGTCCTTTCTGCAAGTCCCTTTGGCATCTTGGCTGCAGATTTGCTTCTTGCTGTGTGTCTCTGCCTGCCTCTGCAACCAGCCCTCAGGGAGGTTCTCCAGGACCACTGTCCTTGGGGAATGGGAAGTACTTTCCTCTTCTCAGAGAAGTCCAGAGTGTGATGACTTCTTTTTTTACCTACCCTCAAAAGATACAGCTTACCATCATTTTGCAGTAAACTAGAAATATGTAGATTAAGTCATCATGATAGCCATCATGTGGGGATACAGGAATTCCAAGGGTGTGGGCTGCTTGACCTGAGAGCCAACTGCTCCTCCTCTCTGCAAGGTTTAAGGAATTTGACAAGCTTAGCAGAAGTTAGGAACCAGACACAGCAACTCTGGGATTTCCCTTCACCTTCTGTGCCAGATAAAAACAGGTGGCACCTTTGAGACCTGGGGAAGGCCAAATGATGGAATATGCATGCATTTATTCAGCACACAAACATTCAGCATTTGCTGCAAGCAGCTGTTGCCATGACAATCATTAATCAACTTTCAAAGATAAACTGCCAGTGCTGTGAATTCTATTTACAGAAGAGAAGAGGAAAAGGATAAAAAGAGAAATGGAAGGCTTTGCAAGACTGATGCTCACTGACAGCTGAGTCCTTGCAGGATGTGGGGTCTGATAACCCTTGTGAGAGTTGAAGAAACACAGAGGTTTTAACAGACTTGAAGGCATTCCACTGCTTGACTAGTGCTTTTCACTTTATCTACTAGGAGATAGAGGATTAATTTATTTAGCTCTTCTGTTTGAAACTCCTTGTGATATATCCAGTAAAGAAAAGAATAATTCTCAGCTTTTTAATATCACATGTCTCATAAGCCTTTCAACTCCATTTCCTCATGTTCGCGGGGAATACTACAGGACCATGATTAATATGTATTCATCAGACTGGTGGGAAATATTAATTTCAGAAACTGTTAAAAAACAATACTACCTGGTGCCCAGTTAAAATATCTGAAGGGAGTGCCACCGCTCCACTGCCAGCCACTGTTGAGATTCAGACTGTTAAGCCCAATCCAAAGAGAGGATCTCTTGCTGTCAATCAAATCTAGGTAACCAAAAGAGTTGAATTCTAATGACATTTCAAAGTTTGGATGAAGATAATAAATGTATGCTTAGTGATTTCTAAGTTCTGTACAGAATCCATGTTTACTGGTAATAAACTCAGAGTTTATTCTGTAGATAATGTTTATTCTGTAGAGAATGGCAATAGACTATTTTACATATTAGTTTATCTGAATTTAATGCTATTCTACAGTTATATGTAAGCAATAAGCTTTGAAAATTGAAACACTGAATTGCTATTGTTAGTATTTATGTTACAAGTTTGCTTGATGGTGATGCAATTGATATAGAGCCTTTGTTCTAGCAAGTCTATGCATACATCCAGAAAGTCTATAGATTTTTGATAGTGTTTTTTATAAAATTTGTATGGTGTTTCCTAAAATCTGTTTCATTAAATATATATGAGGAATACTAATTTCTTAACACAAAAGTCATATAATGACTGCCTCCTATAATGACATTCCTTCTTTTCACTTTCTGGTGTTTTCTAAGCTTGAGCCAACTTTTGCTTAATTAGCTGAAAATTCTTAACTAATATTATAAATAATTTCAAATGGCAGTTCCACAACTTACAGAAATTCCACCTATAAAAAGCTTAATTTACAATAATTGTGCTATCTCTTTAGCAGTACATATACCAGTTTTACATCAGCTATTAATTGTAATGTGATTATAACACTGAAACATTTGTAATCAGTCAAAAAAACCTCTTTGACACTTGTTTTACTCAGTCTTGCTTATTAGTTTACCTCTTAGATACATTTGTTCATGTATCTCTGTGACACTTAATAATTCTGCATTCTGCTGCTGGCAGCTCTTCCTTGCTTGGTGCCACGTGAGAGCTGACTGGTAGTTTATCTGGTAGTAGGTTCCTGTCAAAGGATCTGTACTCCAAAATCTGTCATTGTCTGTGTGAGGGAAAGGAGATTTAGTACTGCAATTTTTTATAAGCATCTTACACAAAATGTTAGAAAATTTACCTCCAAGCTTACTTCTGAAATGAGATACTGGTCCAAATAACGCTCAGACCCCTAAAATCTATGCTGTACCATTACCTTGCTCTTTGTTAAATAAAAGAGATTCTTCCATTGACTTTAGCAGAGACAGGCCTTTCATCCTTTATTTTCAGTTTCCCCTGTCAAATCTGAGAATCTCCAAGTGAAAAAAGACAGTGTAAAGAGATTGATAAAGCAAAACTGCACCTTGGTCCTTAGCTACTCTGAAAACCTGTTCAGCAGCTTATAGGCTATTCATGAATTAACTCTTGACTGAAATACAACAGAAATGCGAACATTTCCAGTGATGGAAAGTTTGTTTTTCAAACTATGCCATCATTAATTGCATTTGCAGTGCTACAGGTTGGGGAAGAGTGGCTGGAAAGCTGCCCAGCAGAAAAGGACCCGGGGGTGTTGGTCAACAGTTGGCTGATTATGAGCCAGCAGTGTGCCCAGGTGGCCAAAAAGGCCAATGGCATCCTGGCTTGTGTCAGAAATAGTGTGGCCAGCAGGACTAGGGAGGGGATTGTCTCCCTGTACTCAGATCTGGTGAGGCCGCACCTCGAATACTGTGTCCAGATTTGGACCCCTCGCTACAAAAAAGACATTATGGTGGTTGAGCGTGTCCAGAGAAGGGCAACAAATCTGGTGAAGGGTTTAGAGCACAAGTGTTATGAGGAGCAGCTTAAGGGACTGGGGCTGTTTAGCCTGGAGAAAAGGAGGCTGAGGGGAGATCTTGTTGCTCTCTACAATTCCCTGAGAGGAAGCTGCAGTGACGTGGGTGTCAGTCTCTTCTCCTAAGTAACGAGTGATTGGACAAGGGGGAATGGCCTCAGGTTGTGCCAGGGGATGTCTAGACTGGATATTAGGTAAAACTTCTTAATTGAAGGGTTATCAAGCATTGCAACAGGCTGCCCAGGGATGTATTTAATAGCTCAGGGATCCCTGGATGTATTTAATAGCTGCGTCAACATGGCACTTAGGGATGTGGTTTATTGGTGGATTTGGCAGTGTTAGGTTTATAGTTACACTCGATGATCTTAAAAGTGTTTCTCAACCTAAATGATTCTATGATTCCATGTTTTTTTAAAAAAACTGTATTCCTTGTTTCTCATCTGCATGTTTTTTAGGTAATTGGCATTTAGAAATTATATTCTGAGAGCTCACTGTTAACAACACTGTTCCTATGAAAGTGCTAATAAGCTGTGGTTGCAACTTCCTCTAACCTTCTCTTTTACTGAGGAAAAAATGTTGTATTTCTTGAATGATTCATAAAAATGTTATTCTGTTTGGTTGTTTGAGGTTTTTTTGTTGTTTTGTTTTGGGTTTTTTAATTGTTCATTCACTACATATTTTTATAATTCTTTTTTAATTGTAGACTCAGGTGTTATTGTCACAACAATGTTATATTGCCAAATACTTCATGTTTACTAGTTTATATAGTGAGGATATTCTGGTGTTTTTCAAGCTAGTGAATGCAATATTTTACCAGGAAATAATTTTCATTAATATCAGTGAAAATGGTGGTGGTAGTTGTGGTAGTTGGTGATTGATAATGAGTTGAACCTGGTTTCCCAGCACAATACTCCTATCAAAATGACAAAAAGTGAGTCTGTGGTATAGCACTGGAAGATTAGGTCTGAGGCAGTATTTTTAATATCTTCATTAACACTGTATTTTGGTGTACTTCATCCTGCACTTGGATGCAGGTACATTTATCTGTTCAGATAATATTATCTTGTAATGTAATCTGAAACATTACAAGGGAAAGGCTGATGATGCTGCTATTTTAGTAAGACCTTTGAGCCAATCTTCTTATGTTATGACTTTCAGAAAACAAACTACATCCTCCCATGGACTGTAGACTAATCTTGTTATACAGAACAGGGAATTGCATGGGTAGAAAGGTTGTACTACTGTTACCACAAATAGCAATGAGGCAAAGAGAATTAGGCTGTTAGTAGCATCTCAATTTTCAGATGATTTTATGCCGAATCCAGTCAACTTTAAAGCATAATTGTCTTTTCCTTCGTGTTAGCTACTGATGGACACACCCAGACAACTTTCAGCCTGACTGTAGACTCATAGGAAATACTGTTGTTTCTTCGTTAAGGGATGTTATGGCATGCTAGAGATATTTTTGAGTAAAATGAAGTCATTACAAAGTTTTTTCCTTCCATATTATTAACAGCATCTCAGTATTGATATATTTACTTAACAGTGTTGTCTTATAGCATCTGTGTCAGCATTTGGGACTTACTGCCAGTTGGACAGAAGCCATACAAATGGTCTGCGTTGAAGTCGGGGGTTGTTGCACACCAGAGCAAGCCGTCTGACCTGCCGGCAGCCGTGCACCCAGCGTACCATCTACCACTCAGTTGGAAGGGGAAGGCACACGGAGCTCCGTTGGCATTTCCTAACACTGTAAACAGATCTGAGGGGGCAAAAGAGAAATTAAAATACAGGTATGGGAATCTGAGGGACCCAGTTCTCTACATATCTGTACTCTCCATAAAGCTGTGGGGAGAAAGTGTTGCAAGTGTTACACCAGTGTAACTGGGGACCTACTATCACCAGCAGTGTCTTCTGAGGAAGTTCTGGGTAGGTCTTGCAACCTACCATATGCTTATGACATCATCAGCTGTAGCAGCTGGAAATATAGCATTTTCATACTGTATACAAACTATGAAAGAACTGTAGTGATTTTTGTCCTGTATATTTAAACATTTTTCTAAAAATTAGCATTATTTGTTGATCATGTAGCTTAACTTTCCATCATTCATTAAAAACAAATAATTGATTTAATTGTTAAATGTTGTGGATTTTTGGCATATGAAATCTCATAGACCAACTAAATGATAGTGTGCATGGAATGATTTGTTTACATTTAATATTGGTATATTAAACATAAAGATTTTTGCCTTTGATCCAACAATACTAATATAATTTCACTAGTACAAGTATACAATTAAATAAAGTATTTGGTTAAATCTAACAATTAAAAATAGACTAGATTCATCTTTGTTTTAAAAGTAAAAAAAAAATTCTGTCTGAGGCTAAGCAGCTGTGCATCTCCAGGATGGAGGAATACAGGCCTGAATATGTTGTGAACTAATCATCCATCAGTCCACCATTGCCTCAGGGGGAACAGCTGATGTTAGACTAAAGGGAGCAGAAATCAAAGGACACTATCCATGATGGCAAACAAGTAGGTTCAATACACAATCAAGATCAACCTTTGAACTTTACCTTCATGGCCTTGAGAACACAAATCAGTCATGGTCCCGTAGATCTTCCATTTATTCATCATTGCTGATCCTGTGTTCAGCACAATATTGTCTTCTTTTCTTTTGCCAGCACTAAGAAACAAATCTTCCCCTTGGATTGCCAAGGTTCCATTTCTGCACTCCCATTTCTGGAATTCACTTTTCTTGTTGCATGGGTACAAAGAAATTTTAGCCTGGTTTTGCTTGTAGGGCACTCCCAAACATTGTGCAAATGCAACGCTCATTACCTGGTGATCAGACACCCACCTGAATTTTTGTAACTCAGTGTTTTTCTTGCAAGCAGCTGTTGTGACTTCATGAGAACTCTGAGCAATTAAACAGAGCTTAGTATCTTCATTGTATATTAAAAATATTTTATTGTCTGTAAAACAAAACAATCAAAATTAATGTACTTATGGTGAGCACATGGTGAGGGGAGCTTGTGAGGGAAGAGATGTGCTGTTGATTCTATGCTGATCTGACTCATGTAGGAGACTGTAAATCTGAGTCACTTTTACAAAGATCAAACTGCATTTTCAAGACTTTTATTTCCTTCTGTGAAGGAAAATTAAGTGCAGCTCATGTATATACAATACTGAGGAATAAGCACATAAAGTACGTTGTAACAGCTTCAAGAATGTCATCACTGTAATGGAATTTTCATGAGGATAGTGGATTTTATTTTTCTAAATCCCTTCTGAAATACACATTTATTTCAAGGTTTCCAAAAGAAACCTTACTGAAGATTTGCAAGTATGCCATCACTTTATGCACTATGGATTTAGTTCATGTTACATACATCTCCACAGGGTTGCATTTGTGCTTAATACAGTGAGTGAGTGAGCCTTCTGTGACTCTTGTGCCTTCCGTAATTGGCATGTTCTGTTATGGTTTGGGTTTTTTTTTAGGATGAAAAACTGTGGAACAGTGACTTGTTATCTTGCCTTGTTCCAGTACCATCTCGTTAGTATGTCTGTCATAATAAGTCAACATAATTCACACAAATCACAAACATTCTCACAAGAACCAACACCAGGCAGTATATAGATATATATAAAGATACTATAGGTCTGTGCCTGTGTGCCTGTGCATTGTTATGGAAAGACAATATGTGAATGCTTAACAAGCTAGCTAACACTTCCAAAGGATTATAAGAAGCCTAAATTAGTAATCCATCAAGACAAGGTTTCCCTGCTGGGAAGGGCTGCCCAGACTGTAGTCGTATTGCTGACATGTAAAGCAGGTTGTTCAGTGCTGGGCATCAGTCTGTGAACACAGCTGCCTGCTTTTTAAAATATCAAGTAGTGTACAACTCCTACTGGTTTTGGGTCATGAGGGAGTGGAATTTGGGCTACAAGGAGTATTCTAGGACCTATGGGGCAGGAGGGCAAGGCTTTGCCCTTCAGTTCTCTGTGCCTCAAATCCCTGCCTGGGAACAAATGTAGCATAACTCTAGTTTCTGAGAGAATAAGCACATAAGGACAGTGAGATACCCTCCCAAACACTGAAGTAAATTTGTAGGACAAGGTTAGCATGTTAGGGCATATCCAATGCTGAGTAGTAAACAGAGCAGAAAGTGTCTGGCAATTCAGGGAAGCTATGACAGGAAGAATAGTTCTTGTTACAATATCTGTATTTAATGCTTGAGCTGTCCATGAAGGCCCTGTATTACTTTGACCACCTTAGTAATGTATGAAAGTTTCACTTCTTAAAATCTAAATTTGGAGCTAAGGCCTAGTTTCTTCTTTCTTGTCCATTTAGACAGAAAGTTTAAATCATAGGAAATCTTTTATATATTACTACGAACTAAATAAGTGGTTACTGTAGTGCACTAAGTTTCAGCTATTGTGCCTTGTAGTATTTTTGGGTCTCATAATAGGAGTTCTCACTGGAAACTTGGAGATTCATGTTTGAGTTATCACATGGGTTTGGGTCCCAGCTCGCATAGCAGAGAGGGACCCCCTTTTTGCCCAGGCTAGTGCTGGAATAGCTCACATGGCACAGTGTCTGCTTTCAGAACCTGTAAATTGTATCCCACACCTCCACAAATCTAATGAATTGCAGGATAAAGCAAAAATGTCCTTGAACCTTACCACCATCCTTACATCAAAAGGAAACCATGACCTGTCCTTGGTCAACTTCAGAGGCTTAACTACACCTCTCATCATTATTCTTAAAGCCACAGTAGTTATTCCAGGGCCCTTCTTGACTCTGATCGTTTTAATATTTCTTTTCACTGGGATCTGCTCAGCCACAATATTACATCTCACACCAATTCACAAGCTCCATCTCATCCAAGCAACCCTGTCCTAAGGCTAGGAGATACACATGTAGTACCCTATTTAATTCCTTTCTCTTTTTCACTTTTTATAACTCGGTTGTATATACAGACAAAGACTATGGAGCACAATGTGAAGTCCATCTGCTTCACGAAGCAGACATAACCAATAATTAAGTTGTATCCAAAAGAAAATCTTTATCCACATACATGACTCTGTCCTGACTTCTGATTCCCATCTTTACCCCATTTTGACTCTTCCCCTCTGTTCAAAAATGAACCAACATCTTTGTATCTGCATATTTTTTAAACTTCTGTTTAGAGACGGCTCCAATTAGAATGAATATGAAATGCAGAGTAGTCAAGCTGCGTGAAAATCTTAAAGAGCCTGAGCAACAAGCAAGACAAAAATGCCCACTTTCACATCCACTTTTGCAGAGGATAAAAAACAAAGACTCACCAAATGTCTGAAAAGCAGTATGAACGAAAGAGAGGAAAACTAAGACTGTAGAGAAATTCAAGTGTTTCATTTCTTTCTTCATTTTCACAGAGAGATGAGCTGAAATTAATTGCTGCAATAGAAGTCCTTACAGAACCAGTTGGCGCTGGCTCCTTCTCAGTTTTGGAGAATTTTAGTTGAAAGAGAAAACTTAGTTCTAAATAAGGAAATATCCTGTCATGTGGTATTTTGAAATCTATAAATAATTACAAAATTCAAACTTTTCATCTGAAAGTGAAGTTTTCATTCATTCGGATGCAAGTGGCAAAGTTTGAACAGTTCAACAGCATTCCGCTGAATTATTTTTAACTTTCTTGATTCTGATCTGGGATTGTAAAATCCTGACCCTCAAAGACAAAGAAGCAGGGAGTGCCCTTTAAAGGGATGTACTTTAAATCTCATACATACATACCTGGGAAACTCAGAAAAAAATATATGCAAATTTCTTGGCCAGATAGGTCTTCACTGCTACAAAATATATGTTAATTTGATCTGATGCACTGAGAAATGTCGACTATTTCCCTGTGAAAAATTAACCCACGTGGGACAATTTAATTTCACTCAATAACTTGACAGACTGGGCACTATGCATACACCTGGCTTTTTTCTTCTCTGATTTATCAACTAGTAAAACTACTATGCTGTTATTTCATGGGAATTTATGTCAGGATGATCAATACAAATTAGCCAAATCTTTGCAAATTTTCCCATTAACCAGTGATTTTGACAACAAAACTGCCTTTCAAAATTATTTAATCCATGAAGTACAAATTCATTTTAGTACTTAATAATTCTTTCTTTGTACCAAGTGTAAATGAGACAAGCAAAGAGGAATATTCTCCAACATTACAAATGAGCTGCAACCCTTTATTAAGTGGAAATCAATTTCAGCTATAATTCAAGATCCCTTATTTGTTTTGAAGGAAGAGGAGGAAAGATACTGAGCAGAAATTGCCCTTTGAATTTTCTCTCATTTTTCATAGCTTTATTGTGAAGACAAATCTCACAATATATTCTGCAAGGGCAAAACATCACTTAATGTGAGAGAAGAAACCAATTTACAGAATATAGGGTCTTCAGAGCTGTGTTACCAATATCTACAATCAAAATATCAAATTTATAAATAATTATATTATTTAAAGTTTGGGGTTTTTTTCATATGTTTACTCTTGTCATTTGCCTTCTTTTCATAGCCATCAAACACCACTGAATCCAATTCAGTGTCACTATTTCCAA